AATTTTGGCGCAATGCGGTCCTTCATGGGTTATGGGACTTTTTTGTCGCGCCCGAATGCCCCTTTTTTAAGGATTGGTTGTAAATCGTGAAATTTTACCACGGTTTGTTCAAGGGCCGAATGGGACCGATATTTTGTATGTGGCCCCGCTTTAAATGTCATCAAGGGACCCACTAGGTAGGTGTGCCTACAGTTTTTAAAGGGGGCGGTGGCAAGGGGAGGAGCTGGGAACTCCATTAGTGCTGCTCTACACGTTGACCAAGACCACCATCCTTGTGGCGGTTGCCTGCACTCAGGCCGATGCCGTATTGTACGCGGTTGGCGTTCTGGCCCGCCAAAGGTCATGTGATGCTTTACCAACCCTCCCCGGCGTCCATCACCCACCTGGTTTCCGTCTCTACAGCTTTTGATGGGGCCCACCAGGTGCACAGAGCAAACCAATGGAGGTTCCTCTGATGACATTTTGGGGCGTCCACCATAATTCCCGGGAGGGACATGCGGTAGTGTGGTGGTCATGCCGGGGCACGCGGTGGCCCTGACCTTTTCTAAGGTGCCTGTCCTGATGGGACCGGGCCCGGCCTCTCTCTGCCTCCAATAAACTCCTCTGTTCCCTTTGTGAGGCTATAAAAGAGCGCTCGGATATCTGGCCGAGTCAATAGTCGAGGTTGTAAAAGTCGCGGTGGAGACGGCGCGTCTGATGTCTCAGCCTTCTGTGTGCGAGACTGTTTGGCAGCCGCAGCTGGTGGAGTGCCAGGAGTTGTGTGAGGTCACATGGGGAGTTGTGCAGGCTAAAAGGGCTTGTCCATCCTAAGAGCCGGATACTATGATATAGAAGCTGCTTTACCTTGTTATAACCCATCCCGGCATTGCCATGCGTCCCATTATGAGGGGCTCCCACCATCCCTGTGCTGAGTTCCCGGGTCTGTACACCTGCTGTGCCCATTATGAGGGGCCCCCACCATCCCTGTGCTGAGTTCCCGGGTCTGTACACCTGCTGTGCCCATTATGAGGGGCCCCCACCATCCCTGTGCTGAGTTCCCGGGTCTGTACACCTGCTGTGCCCATTATGAGGGGCCCCCACCATCCCTGTGCTGAGTTCCCGGGTCTGTACACCTGCTGTGCCCATTATGAGGGGCCCCCACCATCCCTGTGCTGAGTTCCCGGGTCCGTACACCCGCTGTGCCCATTATGAGGGGTTCCCACATGGGCAACCAGATACTCCACTGTAATCTTTGTTTCCATGTACAACATACGTCCCAGGGGTCTATCCTCCGAGAAGTTTGGAGTGGAGGCCTGTTTGGGTTACGGGCGGCGCCGGAGAACATTGGCTCTGGAAGTCTTGAGATACTGTAGATGACAATCTTCTCCTAGCTCTATCTGTGCCATCGTCCCAATTTCCAGACCCCCCCACCCTCCCCCGAGACCCTCAGGGCTCATCCTTTATCTCTTTCAGGGCCAGGAAAGGTAAAAGGGGGCTCGTAGAGATAATGGAGGCCCTTCATCCCTTTCAGACACCAGAAGAGGAAGCATTGTCTTCATGGCGCAGTTGCTCAGCAGGCGTCCCCAGGGGGAACAAAGGGTTAAGGACGCCTGGTGAAAGGGGGGAGGGGGGGTTCCTGCATGTCGCATCTTTTGGAAGTTTTGAAAGTTTGAAAAATGCTCCTCGCTTTGATCCCTCCTTTCCGCCCCCCTCGCGCGTTACGGGACATCAATCTGAGCCGAAAGTGACCGTCGCCCCCGGGGTCAGTTACCCATCGAAAGGAAACGGAGAACGTTAAAATCTAAGAGACTAGTCAGCCCAAAAACATTCCGGCCGCGGGCTTCTGGTGACCGCATGGTGAGACCACCAGAACGCCGCGCTTGACGCACCGAACGTTATCTGCCACCAGGCGTTACAGAAACGAGCGCCGTTCACTGAATCCGGCTATGATCTGTGACAGTCGCTGCCGCGCCCAGACAGGAGTGTGCAGAGTTTACACCATGATTCAACTTCACAATTTTTAAATATAGCTTTATTGAGAAGAAAAGACAAAACAGTGTCTGCCCCCTCGTGTTGTAATGGAAACGCACGCCGTTCACTGTGTCTGCTATGGTCTAAGACACTCCGCGCCACGCCCAGACAGGAAGGTCCAGAGTTCTTTGGTTTGCTCCAGTCTGGTGTGTGACGGTCATGGGCTGTACACAATGTTTTTGAAATTCTGAGGCTTTAAAATATATCTAAAAATGTTTTTACATTACAGACTCCAATTGTTTTTTAATTTCCTGCCAGATCCGGTGGAGATTCCCGTCACTTCCTGTCCTGGAGACACAATGGGTAGTGAGGGGAAACGCCCACTTAGGTGTCCCCTCTGTTCCTATGTTGGTGATGACTTTTGGATTTCCCATCACTTCCTGTCCCAGTAGAAATAGAGCCGGTCAACTCTCCAGTGGATGGCAATAAAACCCTTCTACACCACCCTTCACCTTCTACACCACCCTTCACCTTCTACACCACCCTTCACCTTCTACACCCACCCTTCACCTTCTACACCACCCTTCACCTTCTACACCACTCTTCACCTTCTACACCCACCCTTCACCTTCTACACCCACCCTTCACCTTCTACACCCACCCTTCACCTTCTACACCTACCCTTCACCTTCTACACCTACCCTTCACCTTCTACACCTACCCTTCTACACCTACCCTTCACCTTCTACACCTACCCTTCACCTTCTACACCTACCCTTCACCTTCTACACCTACCCTTCACCTTCTACACCACCCTTCGCCTTCTGCATCACCGTTCGCCTTCTACACCTACCCTTGGCCTTCTACACCTACCCTTCCACACCTACCCTTGGCCTTCTACACCTACCCTTGGCCTTCTACACCCACCCTTGGCCTTCTACATCCACCCTTGGCCTTCTACACCTACCTAAAGTTTTGGCTATAGACACACTTCTTCGCCTATGACCCAAACCTTGTTTTTGATGGACTGGCCCTTTAAGAAAAGTCCCTTTTAGCATGAATTTTGAAGAACCCGTGTCCTACCCTTGCCTGTAAATGGGTCGGCGTGGGGTCAGGCATTGTAATCGGAGGGATACACTGCGGTGGCCGCGTGCGCCTGCTATGGAAAAGACGCGCATTTGTGTCTCCTCCCGATTAAAGGGATTTCCTCCCGACCCCAGGTGACCTCGATCACATGCTCTCCGGGAATTATAATGGGGCCGTTTAACCCCTTCGGCCCATCTATGAGTCTTCTCCAAGAATCCAAATCCTACATGCGGAGACCCGTGATCGGTTTGATCTTTTAATGGGCCACCCTCTCTGATCTCCACGCCGCGTCCCCTCTCCGATCTCCACGTCCCCTCTCCCCCCTCTCTGATGTCCCCATCGCGTCCCCTACAAAAACGGTGTATCTCAACCGGTGACCCTGAGATTCCGCCTGTCCTCCCTGGAAGAGTCTGGGGGTCACTGCTGACACTTCCCGGGCTCTGGATCGGAATCCTCCCATATAAGGTTTCTCCCTCTTCGAGGACTTTGTCATCCACATTCCCCTGTCAGCCGGCGCCGCGTCCTGTCCAATAATCCCGGGTGATGACTCCCAGGTCTCCGGCCCAGACACCCATCACACCTCCCATGACGCACCCCAGAACCCCCGATAAATACATCTGCGGCCTCATAACAACAACGGGAAAACTTTATTAGCATCGTATTTATAACAGTGACCTATCGGAAGACGAGATTTAAAGGGGAACTCCGACATTTGAATGTTTTTAGATATCCAGGTGATATGTTAATGGAAAAATAATCTCCTCCGTGCGTGTTAATGCTTCAAAGGTCTTCTCTGCCTGTGTCATGAAACGCCCACTTTGGAAGACCATGCGACGGAGTGACAACTCAGGAGCACACTTGGGAGGCAGGGACAGAGTGTTGTCACCCTATAACAAGAAGTGACTGAACAAGGATCGAGCGTTGTCATCCTATAACAGGAAGTGCCTGAACAGGGACAAAGCGTTGTCACCCTATAACAGGAAGTGCCTGAACAAGGACTTCCTGAATGTAACTTTATATATCATGTTTTATTATTTTTGTTCTGAATTGACATGTTGGTGACGTTCTCTCTTTTCGATCCCGGCAGGACGGACGCGTATCGAGGAAGGCGCCTCCCTGCGCGTGGACTCGCTCCGATCCGATGACCAGGGGTGGTACGAGTGTAGGGTGCTGTTCCTGGACCGCCACCACGGGGACGAAGACTT